TTGCTAAATGAAAATAATTTAAACAAATTTAGTTTTAATTATATTTCAAAATTCTTTAAATGATAAATTTTAATTATCACATTTTAATAATATAGAAAAATACATAAAGAATTTATTTTTTTGTGCGTCAACCGGGAGAGAAAGAGAATACAGATCAAATGAGAATCCATCCTTAGGTCATTTTTTATTTGGATGGCACCGATTTGATTTCCTAAGATGACATGGATTGATCATTTTTGTTTTTATTTTTGGGTATACACAGGGTTTTCATCGTCGGACCCGATTTGATTTCCTAAGATGACATGGATTGATCTTTTTTGTTTTTATTTTTGGGTATACACAGGGTTTTCATCGTCGGACACAGTGACTCTGGGCTGGAGATTTAAGGCTGCTCCATTCCCAAAGCCAAGGATCGAACCCTTAACCTTTGGTTAAGGATGGATGAGTCTCTACCACTCAACCACACCCGGTTAATCTTCTTTTTTTTTTTTTTTTTTTTTTGGGGGGGGGGGGGGGGGGGGGGGTGGTTAAAGTGGGAGTAGTAGTGTCATTTTTTTTAATGTGTGAACGCATGGTAATCCTTGTCAAATTTATTTCCTTTTTTTTTTTTTTGCATCATCAACGTTGTGGTTTTGGGCAGTTATTTCTTCATCATTGATCTAGTGTTCGTCCACGCAAAGTGATCAGTATTTTATTTTTTTTTTTTACGCTCGTTCTTTTGAGTATAATATTGCCTATATTTGAATGTTGGTGTATATGTACACATATCTTGGCAGTACGGTTGTGCATTCGGGTGTGCTAGTTGTGCAACCCAGTGTTGTGAGTTGTGCATCATAGACTGGTGAGATGTGCATTAGTCCACTTAGTGCAGTGCATCGTAGGGCATTGGGATGCCCACCCCTCATAATCTCCCTCTTGACATGACACTTTTCATTTGATGATTTAGTATTCGATAATAAGTTAGTGGGTCTCAATTCATGACATCTCATCATTATAAGCCAAGTTATGATGGATTTCAAGTGGGGTGGGGGTGGTTAGGGGAACATATATATATATATATATATATATATATATATATATATATATATATATATATATATATATATATGTATATATATATATATATATATATATATATATATATATATATATATATAATCAAATGTGAACTAGGTTTCTCGTGATATGTGTGGACTAATCTGATCCATCCATGATCCATCTATGATGATCAATGACTAAAAAATGACGGGATCAATTTTATAAATATTATGATAAAGGAATCAACTTAGAGATTCTATTCATCTATTTCTTTAATGTAACTATATTAATTAGACCAAATTTGTTCTTTTTGGCAAACTAGCATCAGTAACCCAATTGCACATGAGACACTATCAACAAAAAAGAAGTGAACAGGCAATAAAGACGGAGACAGTGACAATCCTATACAAAAGCGAATTAACAAAACTTAGAGTAAACTTCTTCAATTTTATATAATCTTGCATTGATAACAATACCTCCATTGAGATTCAAACATGTGACCTCCCAGTTCATAGAGGTGCCATTGAACTACATACTACTTGCATATTTACACAAATTTTTAGTTAGCTAATAACTTATTATTATTGTATGGAGAGAGTGATACTACATTTTCATATTAAAATCACTTTCTACCATTTTATTGTTCTATTAAATTATTTTTTGTATTTGATTATTGTGTTAGTTATTGTTAGGGTGTCTTTGGTTGACATGTTAAGCTATCAGGAATAGGTATCAAAGTCATTGTTATTGTTCCGTTGATAGATTTTTAGAACATTACTATGAATTTTGATTACCCCGTAATTGAAAAATTCATTCCCTAATAAAATAAGGGTTTCATTCCATTATTCCTCCTCATATATAATCAAATAGCAATACTGATAATCATCCACATTACACCTTACTACCAAACATCAAAATACTTTCACCAAAAACTCATTACTATTACTAAGTATTTAATACCCATTCTGATTCCGATTCACATGTGCGACCAAACACACTCGGGTGTGTTTGGTTCTCACTATGGAATCGGAATCGGAATGGAAATCAAATACTTGGTAATGGTAATGGATTTTTGTGAAAGTATTTTGCATGTTTGGTAGTATGGTGAAATTGGAATGATTACTGATATTGACGTTTGGTTATGTATGATCTTATAATGGGAATAAATATTTTAAAAATACAAAAATAAAAAAATTAAGACAATTAGTCCTCATTTAAAGTGCCAATATGAACAAAAAAAAAAAAATCAAAACAACAATCTAAAAACACTAATCCAAATTTAAAAATCAGATTATTAATAAGATGGAATGATACATGTTTTTAATTAGGAAATGATGTTTTTAATTGAATGAGTAATCAAATCGTATAATTGTATTTTAAAAAGTTGTCAACCAAACACTAACTATAATTTTGATTCTCATTCTTAATGTGTAAACTCATAAACCAAACACACCCTAAATGTCTTAACTAACGTGTGATACATGTTATATTTGATTTGCATCCATGGGTTACTTATGAATTAACTAATTATATCATGAATTAATTTTATAAAGTTGTGCCAAACAATTAAAACATAATATATATAACATGATCCTTTATATTTTGTGTTAGAGTACTTTTGACATTTTAAACTTAGAATAAACATATATTAATTACTGATTTGGCAAATACCAAAGATTTTATTATGTCTAACTTGTTCATTTCCTTTTTTTCTTTGCATAATACGCGGGTATTTATATTTTGTGATATACGACTAATCTAGTCATGTCTCATTCAGAGTTGAATCTCATGCTTAAACAATTCAAATCTCTTGCGCTTAAATTAATATCTTTTCATTTACTGGTTCCCCAAGAGGTCATCGATTCAAGTAGTTGATGTACTTACACGAGCAACTAGTTTCTCGTCTGTCTTAGGTTCGTTGGTATCTTCACCATCTCCATGTATTTCTGACTTACTCAATTCTTAATGGATATTGGTTCTGGTTTTCAAAAAAAAAAAAAAAAAAAAAAAAAACATTTTCATTTTTTTTCAAATGTAAATAAAATAAATAAATAAACATGCTAAAAAAATCAATGAATAGTTCCTTAAAATAGGACAATAAAATGAAACAAGATAAGGAAACAAAATATATTACATCTCCATTCAAATATATATATATATATATATATATATATATATATATATATATATATATAGAGAGAGAGAGAGAGAGAGAGAAATGAGTTCTTGTGTGGTTGTGTGTATTCGGTGCGATTGTGGGGTGAGATGAGAGTCATTGATCTTGTCAAGATCAACATCTAGGATTAACCAAAAAAAAAAATATTAAAAAAAAATGCAGTGGCAATTTGGTAATTGTGCATCTACGTCAAATTTAAGGTGTGCGGTTTTCCTTTTTAAGGTGTGTGGTTTTCCTTCTTAAGATGCGTGGTTTTTGTGTTGTGTGCTTAAGGTGCGTCAGTTGTTGAAAATTTAATTGTCGGTCTAAAGCTTTAGGTGCGTGGTTTTCCTTTTTAAGGTGCGTGGTTTTTCTTCTTAAGGTGCGTAGTTTGTGTGCTTAAGATGTATCAGATGTTGAAACTTAAGGTGCGTCGGCTTAAAGCTTTAGATGCGTAGTTTTCCTTCTGAAGGTGCGCCCGTCTAAAGTTTTAGGTGTGTGAGTTTTCTTCTTATGGTGCATTGTTTTCCTTTTTAAGGTGCGTTGTTTTTCTTCTTAAGGTGCTTTGCTTTCATTCTTAAGAAAAAATAAAATAAAATGAATTTTTATTAATTTTATAAACAATTTCATGAATTCATTTAGGTTGTATGTCATCCCAGGTGCTCAGATGAGAGCATTAATGGAGGACGCACGTTTTTTTTAAATATAAATTTTCATTTATTTGAGCCGTTGATCTAGATTCGATCGACTCAAATCTAACCTCATTTTTCACATGTGAGCATCTCCGCATCAGAGCTCATCCATAAAGATTTAGGTTGACGCACCTTAAGCACACAAATCACGCACCTTAAGAAGGAAAACTACACACCTAAAGCTTTAGACTGACGCACTTAAGTTTTCAACAACTAACGCACGTTAAGCACAAAAACTACACACCTTAGGAAGGAAAATCACGCACATGAAGAAAGAAACTCATGCACCTTAAATTTGACCTAGATGCAAAAAGACCAAATTATCACCGCGTTTTTTAATCATTGTTAATCCTGGACGTTGATTTAGACAAGATCAATGGCTCTCATCTCACGCACCTCCACACCTGGGCACACCATTCGCATTTGAACCTAATTCTACTAGTGAATAAAATATAATCTTCCCCATGATCTTCTTATCCATATATTTTTACAATTTATATATAGATATTATTATGTGATTTTAAATTAATTTTATTTTTCAAGTTTTCTTTAATGCAAAAAAAATTCTCTAATTATGCACTTTTTTTTGTCTGACCATACTTTTCTCAACAGTTAATTAATTATGCATTTTTATTGTCTGACCATACGTTTTTTCAACAGTTAATTAGAACCACACATCGAGATTACTCTTATTAATCTTAAAACTCCTTGCAAAAGACCCATGAAATCTCATTCACCCTCTCTAGGTTGTCCACTTTAAACTTTTATAATACAACTAGGAAAACTTGTTGTAGAATTTTCCACAATTATGAAATTGCATTTATTAATATCTTTAATACTGATTTTGTATCCATTATATTATTTATTTATTTATATATACAAATAACCATAAATTAATAATATTATTATGAGTCTAAAATTGTGGTTAATTACAGTAGGGTCCCGTGTGAATTAAAGCAAAACCCAGAGAAGATAGTAGTGAACAAGAGTCAAGATTATTCACCTAAAACGCTTTCACCTATTAAAGGATTGTAAATTGTTATTCCCTTTTTTGACCTTTTTTTCTTCATACTCTTTTTTAGTCAGAAAAATATATATAATACCCTTATATGTAATTTCCGAAATAATTTTACTTTTTTAATTTTGTTTGCCTTTCTTTCTTACCTTGTCTTGAGCCATCAGTTTCTAGGATTTGTTGATCTGCTTTGTTTGTGTGTAAGAAGGGTGAACTTCTGATCTTTGCTCTTCACTTCATTTTGGGGTCGCTGCTCTGTGGGTTATGGCTAAAAATCTCAGCTTTAGTATCATAGAGAGGTAAAATTGGGGTTTTTTTTTTTGTTTTTTCTCAGATGGGTTTTCTTGGAAAGGAGAAGAAGGGAAGCTGTTGGAGGTGAAGGAGGGACTGGGAGTAGTGATATAGGCCTTGTATGTATAGGTGAGCTTGTGGGGTGGGTGGGTTTGGCTTGATTTGTGTAGATTCGATATGGGTGGGTGTTTCCCATGCTTTGGATCATCAAACAAGGATGGGAATGGGGTGAAAGAAGTGGGTAAGAAGGAGTCTTTCAAGGATGGTTCTGCTGCACAGCCTAATCATGTCAACAAGCTTAGTGCAGGTTTGTTCTCACTTCTCCAGATTGTTTTTTCTCTTCATATGTAAGTTTTTTTCTTTTTCTTTTTCTTCTTGAGAATGCTTTGGACTGTTGAATTCTAGTACTGTGCTGAAGTTTTCTGTGATGGGATTCTTTTTGGCAATTGTGTTAGTGGTTGATCTGAGTGTTTTGATCATTTGCCTCATGGGATTTGAGCTGTTGATCAAGAATTGATTTTTTTCTCCCATATTTCCTTCTTTTTTTCCTCTCATTGTAGCCCTGCTATAACACTAATGTAGCTGATAGATCTGTGAAATCTTTTAGCAGTCTAGAAATTCTTTGCCCTGTAATTGTTTGAGCAATGACAAAATTCCAGTGTACTACATGAAATGAGATGTTAATAAATCCATTGACTTCAGGGAAGGAAACCATAGAGAATGGTGACTTGGCAATATGAATTCTTAGTCTTCAAAAATCACAAAATAGCATGAGTTTACTCTAAAGTAGAATCAATAGGATTTTTGTGTGATTAGACTTGTATTTGAGTAGGGAGCAAAGTTTTTAGAAACAGATACAGAGATACTTAACAGGAGGGGCATTGCTAATTATTGGAATTGACCTTAATTCTATGGTTTTAGAGATTTTAAACGTTGATATTTTACGGTTTTACCTCAGTACCATGACACTGTTATTCCTGGTATGCAAGATAATACTAAATATCATTAGCCATTCCAGTGATATGACTTTTTTTTTTTTTTTTAAATTTGTGCAGAAAAGTCTAAATCTCGGAATAGTAATGATTCCAAGAAAGAAACAGCTATTGCAAAAGATGGTTCCACAGCGAATATTGCTGCGCAGACATTTACATTCCGTGAGCTTGCTGTTGCAACGAAGAACTTTAGGCCAGAGTGTTTGCTCGGTGAAGGTGGTTTTGGACGTGTTTATAAAGGTCGGTTAGAAAGCACTGGACAGGTGGGTACCCTTTACTGAAACTCAACTATGCAAGAACATATTAAATGACCTTTGCAATATTTAGGTTATGGATTTTGTGTGAGGGGTTAACTATATGTGCAATTGAAGCATCTGCTCCATCTCAACTAAAAGCATAAGCTAATAGCTGAATTGCATTGCACATTTATGTTTATATATGCTCAACACGCTCCCTCACGTGTGCGGGCCAATTACTTTTTGATGGGCTCCAAGCAATATGTGGACCATATTTATACGCTTAGATTCGAAACCATGACCTTTGGCATGGGGTTGGCTCTGATACCAAATTGAAGCATGTGCTCCACCTCAACTAGAAGACTAAGCTGATAGTTGAATTGCACATTTATGTTTATATATGCTCAACATGTGCTTCTCACTTGATTCTTAGGCTTAGTCTTGGAATTCTAGTGATTCTTTATCATTTTCACGTCAGTGATATCTATTCGGGTCACAATGGTTACATGTGCAGGTAGTGGCCGTTAAACAGCTTGATCGGAATGGTCTTCAAGGGAACAGAGAGTTTTTGGTGGAGGTTCTAATGCTTAGCCTCTTACATCATCCAAATCTCGTCAACTTGATAGGTTATTGTGCAGATGGGGACCAACGGCTCCTTGTTTATGAGTTTATGCCTTTGGGTTCTCTCGAGGATCATTTGCACGGTTAGATTGTCTCCCACCTTCTGATAATTTTTTTAAAAAACTTATTCTTCCATGCAACCTGTAATTGTAAGTTGGACACCAAGTGATAAAAACAAAGGATAATATATGCAATATAGCCAAACATTGCAAATTGAAAATGCTGCATTTTTAAGTTCAGAAAGGACACAGGAAATTTTTTCAAATATTCTGAATGTACTATACTTTGTTTTGTATGATCACATGTTAACTTTTGTTAATGAAGTATGCCCTTTTGTTTTAATACTAATAATAATAATAATAATAATTACACGATGGTTATGAAATAAAGAAATATACGAGATGAGTGCAATTCCTATTCTTCATATGGCTATATATCCAAACTCTGTGCACTGTTATTCTCTTTGGTAAATATGGTTTTGTGACTGTTTAGTCGGTTGGAGTGCGTGATTTCTTCTAGAACTGATTTGCATATGCACAATAGAAGAGATCTTAGAGGAACCTTATGCCTGGTATAGGATGTCTAGAATCACAGGCACGGTTTCCTTGAGTTAAAATTCAATATTTCTTTTGGACTATAGCTTGTATTTTTTATTTTTTTTTGGTACAACTAAGGGGGTTGGGGATTGAACCATTGACATTGTTAGACATTATACATGGTAGGAATATATTCAACATGATATTCGGGATTACTGTGCATATTCTTAGGGATTTAATTCCGATCCTTACCTTAGTATATATCTTCTTGTATATATATGTGTATTCTTGTGTCTGAAATATATGAAAAACATATGGAGTTCTTCATTTGACAGACATCATAATCTAAAGTCAAAGTCAAAGACGGGTGCCACTTGGGGGCAACCTTGCCAAGTTGGTCAAGTTGATGACTTGGTAACCTCAAGGTTACGAGTTCAATTCGCCGCGGAAGCGGCCTATTGGCCTTCTTGGTTTGAGCCAGTCAGCTATAGGTAACCTAGATTGGTTTACCTCCTTGTAATCATTTGCCAGCTAGGGTCACAAGGCGGGGTTTACCCAGTGTGCACCCTCGGGTAGTGGTTGTGGGTTTCCCTCGTCATCCAAAATAAAGATTTATGCCACTTGACCACAAGGTCTTGGGCGGACTATAGCTTGTATATGGGAAAACATTTGTTACACTGATTTTTTGATGTTTGAGCACGGCAACCATCAAAATGTATTTTATCGAAGTCAAATCTGCAAACTCTTTTGTGGTAGGATATCATCTCAATTGTATGAGATGTTTGAGCACGGCAATCATTCTTGCATTTGAATCCCGCATTTTTGTCATCCTTACCTTGTTATTTGGTTTTTAAGGAGTTAAAGTTGGATTTTGTGTTTATAATAAGTATTGTTTGAAGCTTGGTTTTAACTCCATGTGGAACACTTGTCAGATCTTCCTCCGGATAAAGAACCGTTGGACTGGAACACAAGGATGAAAATTGCTGCGGGTGCAGCAAAGGGATTGGAGTATTTGCATGACAAAGCCAACCCTCCTGTAATATATAGAGATTTAAAATCTTCCAACATACTTCTTGATGAAGGGTATCACCCGAAGCTGTCGGATTTTGGGCTTGCAAAACTAGGCCCCGTTGGTGATAAGACTCATGTGTCTACACGCGTGATGGGCACGTATGGTTACTGTGCTCCCGAGTATGCTATGACTGGTCAGCTGACTTTGAAGTCCGATGTTTATAGTTTTGGGGTTGTCTTCCTCGAACTCATTACGGGGCGCAAGGCTATTGATAACACGAGGGCTCCGGGAGAACACAATCTCGTTGCGTGGGTATGTTAATGTGTAGAGAGCCATTGTTTAAATTAAATCTTGGTTGGTGTGTATTGAACAAGACAAGAAATAATTTTTGTTTTTTGTGTGTGTTTTTAGGCTCGGCCACTATTCAAAGATAGGAGGAAGTTCCCGAAAATGGCTGATCCGCTACTGCAAGGGCGGTATCCTATGCGGGGACTTTACCAAGCGCTAGCTGTGGCAGCCATGTGCTTACAGGAACAAGCTGCAACGAGGCCTTTGATTGGAGATGTGGTGACGGCTTTGACTTATCTAGCCTCCCAAACTTATGACCCTAATGCAGGGAGCGGGCAGAGTAACAGAGTTGGTCCATCTACCCCTCGGAGCAGGGAGGATAGACGAACCATGTCTGATGGAGTGCACAGCCTAGATGATCCGGGGCACGGTGGTTACCACGGCTCTCCTTCCGTGCATAAGAATTCTCCTGACTACAGGAGAAGAGATTCTGGGAGGGATTACAATAATACGGGTGCGGAGTTGAGAAGGATTGAGACGGGAGGGGGTTCTGCTCGGAAATGGGGGTTGGATGAATCAGAACGGCCTGATTCTCAAAGAGACAGCCCCTTGAGTGCAGGTAGAGGGAAAGATACTCCAAGGAACCGGGACCTTGAGAGAGAACGGGCAGTTGCGTTGGCGAAAGTATGGGGGGAGAATTGGCGGGATAGAAAGAAGGCAAACAATGCGAGTTTTGACGGTACGAATGATTGAAGGGGGAGAAGATGGAAGTTAGGTATTGAGAGAGGAAGTCGGAAGTCGTCACACAATGCATTGTTAATTGAGTGTTGATGGAAATAATATTATCCAACTTTCGGTATTGTTGTGGGTTTGAACTGAAACTGGAACTGGATGGTTGAGTTATGGTGAAAGAGAAGACTGTAAAGTAGGAGGAGGATATGCATTGATGTATTTGAGGTGGTGGGCGATTGCAGACACAAATTCAAGAATACACATATGCGCATGCATGCTTGCTTGCTATGTATTTAGGGTTGGTTACCAAAAGAGAAGAAGATGATGGGAAGAAATCTTTTATTTTATTTTATTTTGCTTGTCTTTTTTTTTTTTATTGTTAATTGCTTTCTTTGACTCACTCCTGTCCTGTTTTAGGTTTGTTCATGGTTTTTATCTTTTTGTTGCTTGCATGCATACAAGCATTTTACCTCTCCCCTCCCCTCCCCAATCACTAGCGCCATGGAAAATTGATCTATCTATCCTCAAATCATCAAAACCAGAATATTTGATAATAAAACATCTGTAATAAAATATTACTATATAATATATAGTCAATGACAGTTAGTTAATGACAACAAAATTGGCCTTACACCAAAAATGCTACTAGAGAATAGGAGATGCATTTAAACAAGAGATAATTGTATTGTATTGTACCCCATTAATGTCATCAAGTCTTCTAAAATGTACAAAAATCATTAGTTTTAAGTGTAAGGCCCGCCCCGCCCAAGGATCCATCCAGCAAAAAGAATTTCACTTTCACCATCAATCATTTCCTCTTCCTTCCCGAGTTGACATAGTCATCCATTGATGATTGTTTCCGCTTCTTTGTTGAAGTAGGAGGGCTCTCTGCAGCTTGCCTTGCTGACGCCCGCTTTGATGGCGTATTATTCATCTGCGTGAGTTTTGACAAGGGAAAAACACAACATATAAGATAAGTAGGATCATACACATCATAAAGTAAAGTAGTGTGTAGTGCACAATATCCAACCCAACCTTGGCAAGTTTCTTTTCCTTGCGGGCTTGCCTCTCCCTCTCATCAAATTCTTGGTTTTCCTTCTCAATCAGCCGAATAAGTGTATCACATCTCCTTGCCAATTCCTGGGCAGTTCGAGACTTGACAAACCAATCAAAACGAAACAAAGTTGATGTGCGGAAAGCTGCTTTCAAGTCATCCCAGTTTCCATACCCTATCTTGTGAACCATGCACACCTGGGGGTTGGGCGGGGGAGGTAAACATCATCAATCAAAATTATCCAACACTATTTCAATATGGAACAACAACATACCTCTGCGAACATAAACTTACCATAAAACGATCACATTCCTCATTGTAAAACTTGCCCTTGTTCTGACCATATTGGATTTTTAACTCCAACCATGGGTTCTTGTAACGATCCAATTTTTTCCCAATTGCTTTCATGATCTCATCTCTCCGGGAAATTCTGGCCTCTCCTCTCTCAATGTTCTTGATGATCCTATCATAATCTGGGGGAAATATAGACATTAAATCAAAACTTGATCGAACTAGTGTGTCAGAAACACATATACTAAACCAGGATTAAACAGATTCTTTTACCATTTAATTCTTTGTATCTCTCTTTGAAAATTTTAGCGTATCTTTCAACTTCCTCCTCTGTTTTCCCTTCCATTTCCGTAGCAATACTTTTTATATCATTACGGCCATATTTCTCACAGGCCCTGATGAAAGTATTGAAGTCTCTTCTGCTCCATGTTGAAAATCCCTACACAAAACAAGTGTCCCAAGTCAGCTGGTGGAAACACAACTTTAATTCAATCATCAAATATGAATTCACTTGCCTGTTCCAAGAGGCGTTCTTTCTCTTCCTGTTCTTCAGCAGTCAAAGGTTCTCCCACATCTGGCAAGAAATCATTGGTTAGGAAACAAAGGACTGGTGGTTAACATACCTTATTTTGTTAAACATACCTTCTGCTTCCTCCATATCTATTGTGTCTTTCAATTGGTTCTTCTGATGTGTTTGCTGCAATCAACAAACATAATGAGTCAGCATGGCAAAGAGGGGGTGAGGTGGGCATTAAGTAGTTAATTGAAATGGAGAGAACCATGACCCACCATGAGGTAGCGAACTTCCTTCTCAAACAGCTCACTTAGTCTCTGTGTGTTAAAGAACTGGAAGTCATGCCTGCAAGACACATAGAAAGTAGAAGAAAATTAAAAGGTATAGGTCCAAGTAGATAAAATAATCTAAAATAACATATCACAGGGAGGTGCCTACAACTGAGGCATGCGAGGAATTCGAGGCTCTTTGGGTCTTGCAGGACCATTCTGTCGCATTGTTTGCTTGAAATATTCCGACTCCGAGTAACTATTGACAAAGAGAAGGGTCAAAAATCATTCAACAAAAAGATAATTTTATTAGTCAGCTGGCAATTAGCATACTTGCGCTTTCGCTCTCTTCTTGGTGGCTCAATCCAATTTTCACTGGCAATCTTCTTAAAATCAACCTTATTTTCATCCTTCATCAGCAACAAGTAAATATCAGAAATGGCAGCATCAGAAAAAGAACCCCAAAAAACAAAAGATCATAGACCAACTAACCTTTTCATCATCAAAGTCATAGATATCAGCAGCTGCATAAAATGAGATCTAGATTAGCCCAGAGAGAGAAATAGAGAGGGGAGAGAGGGGAAAAAAAAAAAAAAAAAAAAAAGATAGCATACGGTCATCCATCTTAAACTTGATAGCATCTTCTGTAAACTTCTTCATCTTGGCATCAAGTTCAGCTGTAGCCTCTTCTCCTTTAGCAATGATCCTATCTATATCTTCATCTGTGATTGTGCTATCCTTGGAACTGAAAACCATCTCAGCACCAAACCTCACCATCTGCAGTAGCTCATCCTTATTTACAGCTGCAGTGAGTCAAACCAAGGATCCAAATTAGTTATTACAGATCACAGCTATATATCAAAAATGGCAAAACCATGAGAAACCTTACCTTTTTGCTCTGCCAGCCTTCCTTGCTGGATAACCAAAGCATCAAGTGCAAGCTTCTTATAAGCTCTTTCAATCACCTTTTCCTCAATAGTATACTGCTCATAGAATTATAATTTAAAAATATTAATTTATGTCCATGCTGAGTTAAAATATTAAAGATAAAACTGAACAAACCTCAGTGCAAAAACGGAACACTTGAACTTCCTTCTTCTGACCAATCCTATGAGCACGATCCTGAGCTTGCAAATCAACCTGTGGATTCCTGCAATGTTGGTGAACACAATACCATCGGGTTATAAAACTAATAGCATCCAGTGCCAGAAATATGAAATGTTGAATATCCTACCAATCACTGTCGTAAAGTATCACAATATCGGCAGTCGCCAGATTGATTCCGAGACCCCCAGCCCTAGTTGATAACAAGAACGCAAATTTCTCACTTCCTGGCTTGTTAAAGACTTCAATGGAAGCATCACGATCCTCCCCACCAGTATTTCCGTCAATCCGGCAATATTGATGACCACGGTACATTAAGTAGTCTTCAAGAATGTCTAAAAGTCTGGTCATCTGCATTTTACAAGATAAGAGGAAATTGCTCGGTCAATACCACGCCATAAAAGTTTATAAAAGGGAACAATAATATCATTTATAGATCTGAAGACCTGTGAAAATATTAACACCCTTGAACCACGCTCCTTTAGTTTTGGAAGCAGCTTATCCAGAAGAACCATTTTGCCTACAATAAATAAAGGAAAGCAACAGCTTCAGCAATCAATTGTAAGATCAACAGTCTAATATATATACATTGAAACATTACCAGCATTCTCTACCAGATGATCTCCCGTAGTATAAGGAGGTCCTGGTTCAGCACCTTGGAACAGATATGGATGATTGCAGCATTTCCGCAGTTGCATGGCTATATTTAGAAGACGCTTGCGCTCTCCACCAGAATTAACAACTTCTAGATCTTTTTGCAACAAAGCTTTATAATATTGCTTCTGCATCTGGGACATACCAACCTTGAGGATTGTTTCCTTCTTTGGAGGAAGACCTTTCTCAACATCAGACTTCAGTCTCCTGAGAAGAAACGGTCGAAGGACCTTGTTTGGACAAGTCAAAACAAATTAGTAGACAGAACCAAAAATCTGTAATGCGTTAATTAATATCTTTCTATGACAAACTTGAGATAGCAAACACACTGTACAGGCACAAGCTTGTTTAGCAAGGAAAATCAGACATTTGAAGTACTTAATTAAAAAGATTCTCCCCTATAACCAAAAAAAATGTCATATTATACCATGTGGCACATCCTACACAAAATACCTTGTGAAGCTGTTGGACAACCTCCTGCTGGTCATTTTCACCAGAAATTTGAAACCATTCATCAAAAGTTTCTGCAGAGCTGAAGATTTCTGGGAGCAAAAAGTTGAGAAGAGCCCATAGTTCATGAAGATTATTCTGCATATAGATCGTGTCATCAAAATCCACCTCAGTCAAAGAGCTGAGATTATGAACAGTTTTAACAAACACACCCAAATTACAAGATTCATTAATTGCATTAAAATAGAGGAAACAAACTGCCTTATAACAAAGTACCTAAGCTTTTCTTCCCTACTTCAAACTCAACCATTTATATTATGCAATGGCATAGAAACTTTAGAATAGAAATAAAATTTACCTGCAGAGGTGTCCCTGTGATAAGAAGTCGATAATTAGTATTATAAATCCTCATTGTCTTTGACAGGAGAGAATTTTCATTTTTGATACGATGAGCTTCATCAATTATGATGTAGCGCCAACTAAAGCGACGAAGAGCAGACTTCTCTTTAATAACCATTTCAAAACTAGTGACACACACATCAAACTTTCCAGCAACAAGTAACTCCTCACGTATATACCTCTGAAAAGTAGGAGCAATTTTATAAGAACATTGAAAAATAATAGAGGAAGATGAAGCCTAAGCAATCTTAGAGGTTACCCTTTCATCTGGGTTTCCAAGAAATTTGACAGCACGCAAAACTGGACAGAAACGTTTTATTTCATTCATCCAGTTGCCAAGTGTAGATTTTGGAGCAACAACCATATGAGGGCCAGTTATTCCTCTAAATTCATGTAGGTATCCCATTAAGGAGATTGTTTGCAATGTTTTACCAAGCCCCTGAAACATTCAAAACCGTAAAACAAAGCTGGTTATACTAAAAAGGACATTTCATAATGCATAGACCACACTGAAGTGACATTGCCCAGATCAGTTTCCGAGCTTACCATTTCATCAGCAAGTATTCCATTTATGCCATTTTCATAGAGCCGTATAAGCCAGTTCAAACCAGCAAGTTGGTAGTCACGCATCTTTCCTTGAATACCTGTAGAAACAGAGAATCAGGACTTTATATGATGGCCTTACTTAGAAAACTTCAAGTATTACCTTGGATAAATATTACTCCGTATAAAATACAAATAAAAAGGATTTGACTATCCAATAAATGAACTTAGAGCTCGAAACAAAGCCCCCGTATACTGGCATCTCAGTAGTTTTAGGCAAGTTCAAGCCGTTCACTCTTTAATCAAATAACCATAAAAGCAACATATTACATATATTTGTGCAGAAAATATAGCAAGTCAATAAAAAACATAAAGCCACTACTTCAAAATGTAGAATATTTAATACTCCGTATATTATTTTTTAAAATATTATGCTTACAAGAGGGTTGTGCCACCAGCCGTGTATTTCCAGAAAGCCCATCTTCTTCATCTTTGAGATACTCCTCATCTTCTTCCTCTTCAGTCACTTTAGATGCATGGCGACCCCTACGGAAAGTCATTATTGCGAGGATTATGACAAAATATTTGGCAATTTAATGCTAACTATTTATGATTTCAATAAACCCATAGTCTATCAGTGAAATAAAATGGCCATTGAGAAGTTTGCAAATCAGAGTAGCTATAGAGAAAAGCATTGGTAATACCTTCCTTTTACTTTCTTCTGAGAAGGTTGATCCCCTTTTGCAAAATGAGCAAATAACTCTGTTTGCTGCAGGAGGTACTTGAGACGGCCCTTCCCTTTGTTGTTCTGCCACAGAAAGGACAAATTAATACATCTCTAAACTCAACACAACCTCACCTGCTATAGAAACAGCTGCTAAATATTACACACCATGTCAGCATCAATAGCCGCATTTTGTTCATCCAATATTTCTTGTATCTTATTTTTCTTAAGCCTCTGCATTTCTTTCAATCTGGCCTTTTCACGTTTCCCTGTTTCATTAGCTGCATCATCATCTTCCTGCAAGAATCACATTACATTAAATAACAAAAATTACTAGGGCTAAGCCTTACCAGTTCAGTTTACCAACAATTGCAATAAAACACTAATGAGACAAACTTGATCAGCTGTGGGGAACACAAAATGATTTACACTCTAACTATGAAAACTTAACCTGAATTTTCAGAAGCCTACAAGTTTTCCATCTACATTTCTAGAGCGTCATAAGAACTAAAATGACCTAAATATAGTAAGTTCATCTAAAACTAAATGCCTATTTTCACACAAAACTAAAAGTTCAAGTAAAGCAATTACATTTGCTAACCATGAGTATCTACTCGTCTACTGCGAAAATCATCAAAATAACAAACTACGAAAACATACAGTTGGAAATTCCAAAGAACTTCTCTCAAACAACCCTAAACACTTGAGATCTACCACAGTCCACTATCCCGCAGCAACAACTGAGCATCAAAGATAAAAGTAACGACAATACACAAATAAACACACTCACCTCGTTCTCCTCCTCCTCGTCCTCGTCAGCGGCGGCCTCGTCATTGTCTTCTTCCCCGTCCTGATCCTCCGCTTCCTCCGAGTCCTCCCCCGCTCTACCCACGACCTCGAGCTCCTCCTCGTCCACCTCGTCGGTAACTTGATCGTTAACTCGCTCGTCCTCCGAACTGTCCGATAAAGGTTCCGATGACGATGATTTGGATCTGGAGTGCTTCGCCATTTTGGCAATCGAGACAGAAAATGCGAGAGAATGTGGCTCCTTGTCGTTGCTGTTCCTTGAGTCCAGGGGATTTGTTAGCCTCTTAGGTCTGTGGCGTATTTATTATTTATGGATTTTCGGGTTTAATCGGTGACTGATTTACGCTTCCCGCCTTTTTGGTGAAAGATGCGATTCCCGCCATTGGGCCTGCTTTTATTGTTTTGGACACTTCTGCTACCTGGGCTGTACCCTAATGGGCTTTCTGGGCCTCACTTTCAGTCAAATCAAAGGAATATTATTACATTTCCAATTTTTTAGGCAAATTATTCCGTGGACCCGAGTTCAAAATACACAATTTACATATTGAATTTCACAATTCAAATTATGAACATTCGGTATGTAAATTGTGTATTTTGGACGCGAGTTCACCTTGACCTTACAAGGTAGACACAACCACACAAGGTCCATAGTATAACTATAATACAACATTGTTTTTTATTCGCCGATGGGAAATTAAATTGGGTATTAACTCATTTAAATATGCATTTCTTTATTTCTTTTTGTCAAACACCTTGTGCTCAGATGACATGTAGTGATCTCTCTTATATGGGAGACGTTATTGACTCTTTGTGTTTCAATAGATTGAGAAAGTATATTTGAACAGATATTACAATATAATAGAGTTAGTAACATTAAAAAAAAATCTTAACAAACGAACACGAACAACCTCCATTTGTTATTAGGCTGGTTACGAAACAAAGTAGTACCTTACATTCTTGCCTACCATATTAAAAAATAAAAAATAAAAAAAAAAATAAAGTTGATGTTATTAGTATCCGAATAAGCGAATACTACATGGGAATATTACTTTCCTATCCTCACGCCATCGGGTCACCAACCGGTCCAATTTCCACACAAACCCCATAAAAAGCTCAAAATTACTACCACTCGTAGAACAATCCTCTGTAAATAATTCCAACAATGGAGGGCAATTCCGGCAACCGATTTAGTGGCCCATCCTTTTCATTGGCTCTAGATAAACCTCATTAGAATTCAACCATGATTGAATAAATTTGTCCCTTTCGAATAAATAATTCTCGATAATCGTCGGCCGTTCTCCCCGTCGACCGTGCAACTTGCCGCCGGTGTACTGACATTTTGATAGCATCACAGTCCGGTGGCAATTGGAGCTCAGAATTTCCTTCAGGTGAGTTGAGCTCCTCAACCAATCTTGATTTTTCCTTTTTTTTTTTCTTTTGCTTTGAATTTTTCCGCTTAATTTGTGATGAATAATAATTTCAGGTATTAGAATTTTTGTGAATTATATCTTCTTTGTTCAATGTATGCAGATACATACATGGAAGGGAAAAAATGGTTAGAGGTGCTTATTTTAACATGCTTATTTGCATTTTCAACTGCTAGAGGTAATAATAATGAAAATTAATTTGAACTTCTCATGTTCTTTATATTTTTATTATTTTGGAAAGCATTTGAATTTCAACTTTGGTGCTCTGTGTTTTTGGCATGAATGATCTAGGTCTATCATCTATCTTTTTCAATGCACCATCCTTGAATTATATTTTCCCCCATGAATAAATAGTGATTAGCAGCTCCATCTTTGTATAGCTATTATATTTGGAAATGTCAATGACTTTATGGCTAGAGAAGTGGGTCTAAATTAAATTTTGACAGGTAGGAACTAGGAAGTGAATGTGATACACTTTAAAGATTTGTTACCAAGCATAATGGTGTGGTTTTGTTATTATTATTATTATAGAACATTAAGAAAAATATTTCTGGTAAGAGTGAGTGATGATGATGATGATAGATTGTATGATTTTTAATTCAGTTGTAATCTAATAATTAGTTCAAGACTTAAGAGTACAAAGTGCCAAGTACAAATAGCAAATAGCAAATAGCTAGAACAATAGAACATTTCAGCTGCTGATATTCCTATAAAGTGGATTTTGCTTTAAAAGGGTAAAGAAATAGAACAAGGAGAGAGTGATATAATATTCAACTTTTGTAATTCCTTTGTACTACAAGTAGAGAATAATGTTTGCAATCCAATGCTTTTGAGGATAAATAAACATTGATTTCACTTCAGCGATGATTGTCCACTCAAATATTCTCTACAGAAAATGCCTTTTGCTTGCGCTGTTGACTTTGGTTTGAGTAGTAAAGTAACACTTATAAAGGTGAAAGGGGAGGGGTGGGGGTGAAGTATGGCCTTAAGCTTTAAGTGTGTATGTTGGAATTCAATCATTCATCCATATTATTAAGGTTGTACTTTTTTCTGGATGGGTGAATATTGTTATTGATGATTAGCTATCAAAACAAATTTATATGTTGTTAATGACACTTACTTTTGGTACAGAACTCAAAGACAAAGCGAACCACAAGTATCGATCACCAGTTTACAATCACACACTAGCCACTATATTGGTGGAATATGCTTCGGCAGTAAGTGTTAACTTTGATTAAATTGAAAGATACTGATTTACACTTTATCCATTTCAAGTTTTCCTGTCATGTACTGGAATTTTCCTTTTTCATGTTAATATGCACCTATATCATGATTATTTATTACCTTTTACTTGCAGGTCTATATGAATGATGTGACAGAACTATTTACTTGGACATGCTCGAGATGTGATGGTTTAACCGAGGTATTGTATTTGATTATTGTTAAGAGTATTCAGCTTACAGGTGCAAAGTTTTGGAGTTGATTAGGTATATTATGCACTTGCGGACAATAATGGCTGTTTCTGCAAGCAGGGGTTTCAAATGATAGAGCTGATTGTTGATGTGCAGCACTGTCTGCAGGTATGTGCCATATAGCATAAAGCCAACTCGTATTTATAAGTCCTAGTTTAAGTTCTAATTGCTGGTATCTTGTGCAGGCATTTGTTGGAGTGGCTGAGAACCTTAATGCCGTTGTTGTTGCATTCAGAGGAACTCAGGAAAACAGGTTTCACTAGTGCTGTATATACTATTGTCCTGCAGCTACATTATATATGTGGTTCATGGGGTCACCATTTCTGATTCTTTTGATTACAGTATACAGAACTGGGTTCAAGACCTATATTGGAAGCAACTTGATATAAATTATCCTGGAATGGATGATGCAATGGTGATTGCCATATCAAATTTTCTTTTATAAAATACTATATGAAAAATTTATGTGAGGATACACATATATTCATGTTCTACAATCTGTCAGGTACACCATGGTTTCTACTCTGCTTATCACAATACAAGTCTACGGCCTGAAGTGCTAAACTCTGTGAAAGAAGCACTAGAGTTAAATGGAGATTATCAAATTATGGTGACAGGGCATTCAATGGGAGGAGCTATGGCTGCTTTTTGTGGACTAGATCTCACTGTAATTATTATCCAGAGCTTCAGTCTTTTGAAAATTATTTGTTATATTTTCATCATCTACATATTATGGTTTTCTCCATGCCTTTTACAGTTAATTCTTCTTTTACCATGTACCATATGTATACACTATTTTGTTGATGAATTTCTTTGTGGTGCATCAAATACTTTCAGGTCAATTATGGTTTTGAAAATGTTCAAGTCTTGACATTTGGACAACCTAGAATTGGCAATGCGGCTTTCGTTTCCTACTATAGCCAGTTTGTGCCTAATACTATTCGTGTTACACATGATCATGATATCGTTCCTCATTTGCCCCCATACTATCACTACTTTCCTAAAAAGACGTATCATCATTTCCCAAGAGAGGTAATGGGCTTGCTGGAATTGCTGACCTAAATTGTTTCTTTTATTCGTGAAAACCCCACATGAAATATTAGGCTGGTTAGCTATGATCCTATGAACATTAAAAATGTTGGTGCTTTATTGACAGACTTTTTATAAGGGCTTATAAAAACAGATAATTATCAAATTTACTTGAGAATGACACAAAATGATGGAGATGAATTGTTTAGTTGCTCGAGTTCTTTCTACATTCTGATCAATCTTGTTATTTCAATCAAATTTCCCAGCAGTGAATTCTTATTTGAGCTGTTGACTTTGTTTGGCTCTGATATTTTCTATGCAATCACTGAAAGCTGGCTTTTGTGTAGGTTATTATGCCTTATAGTTTGATGCCCTTGTCTCTTAGTGTCTGCCTAACATTGATCATGAAAATTAACCTAGAGTCTTAAAGAAAATTAGCTATAATTTTCCTTCTAATTTGTGGCATTTCTCGTTAAGCAATGAATTTTCTGATATTGTAGGTCTGGCTGTATAACATTTGTCTGGGAAGTTTAGTTTATCCAGTTGAGAAGGTTTGTGATGGTTCCGGGGAAGACTCAAGTTGCAGCAGGTAAGATTTCTCTTACACGTAATTTATGGGGGTGTTCAAGAGGATGAAACCACATTGTAATAAATGCACTTAAACCATCACTCCCCCACAAGTATTGAACACATCGAGGAGAAAATTGGTTTGTTGAGCATATAGCTATTAATGTGCAATCCAACTATTAGCTTAGGCTTTTAGTTGAGATGGAGCACATGCTTCAATTTGGTATCAGAGCCAGACCAACGGTCATGAGTTCGAATCTCAGCCACCCATAAGCGACTATGGTCCACGTGTTGCTTGGAACCTTCCAACTATTAGCTTTGCTTCAATTGCACTGAAATGTCTTTTAGCCAGAGGATAATTATTTAAACTGGTCAGATTTCTCAAGAGTGCTACTCATCACTGGAAAAACCTTTCAGGTCAGTGTCGGGGAACAGCATTTCAGATCACCTGACATACTATGGTGTTCAACTAGGATGCGAGGAATCAGCATCGTGTAAATTCTTTATGGATCCTCGTGTTTCCTCTTACGGGACTCAAGATCGTAATGGAAATATTGTTTTACATAGAGATATTTCTGCCTCTGTGTTAATGATGAACTCAAAATCCACTAAACAGAGTGTATCTTTGTAACTATAGATACAAAGTTGCCCTTATGGAAATTAGTTGTCTTTCTTTGAGGCATGCAGTTTGAAAATGTATAATAGCCTGTGAATGATGCTGCTGAGCCCAAACTGGAAAGCTTATACTGTTCTTTGTATATGTACCACAACTTTTCACCATGTAAATAACATTACTTTTTTACTGTCCCATTAGTGTCAAAAACATGTTTTTGAGCTTCTTTCATCTACATTATTTGTGATTAGTGTTGTAAACACTACAAGTTAATTATATAGCTTGATCATATAAAACCATATCATGGTTATTCATGGATATAAATTTTGATGCAAAACTTTAAAAACAAATAGTACAAATGTTAAATGTATAATAGTATTGTTCGAAAGAAAGCAAAACTTGTCTTGGGTCATAACGGATTTATAATTAGATCATTCTAAATAATTTGATTGGACAAATTCTTCGAGGCTGAGGAGAATATTATATACAAGATTTCTGTTAATGAGTTATTTTTATTAGATTCAACCCGTCTCACGGATTGAGGCCTGTGAGATGCTCAGGAGACCAGACCATTTGATTAAATAACCAAACATTATGGAAGAGATAAACATCTTTTCTTTTTCTTTTTTTTTGAAGTACAGCCCATAAGAATGGTGGTGGTACACAAAGTTTCATGAATCATCATTCATATCATCTCTTAAATAGAACCACATTCCCAGATGTATAGAGAGTGAAATTCCCAGACATTTGAAAAGAATTGGGGGGAAGCCAATGTGTTTGAAATGATAAAGGTAACAACTTCTTCACATACTTAACTCTATAGATATGTCTTTCTTTGATCCCAAATTGGTTATGTTTATATCCATAGAGATAGTCAGATCAGATGTCTAAACTGGAAATGCAGCAAGTCTTCAAAGGCTTTCTTTTTCATTAGCCTTCTCCTCTGTCACTAAGGCCTCGGGTTTTTTGTCCTGAAAATACACAAGAACCACATTTCAAAGATGTATAAGTTCCAGAAAACTGGGCTAGTTTGAGGAGAGGCAAAAAGGAAATTCTTTGTGTATATATATTATACCTCTTGTGGTGGAGTTGGAGTTTTGTCTTCTGGTTCTGGTTTGGCTTCAACTTCAGCTTTTGTATTAGTAGCAGCTGGAACAGATTTTTCTTCCATCTTCTTTCCTTCTTCATTTGTCTTGGCACCATCTTCTGTGGATTAAAAAAAAAACATAACAATTACAGGGCAATCCCAGCCAAGTTGGTTAGGCTAACCTTCTTGGTTTGAGCTGATCAGCTATGGACAACCTGATTTACATCAGTTCTTTGCCGGCCATAGGGGTTTATCTGTGCACACCCTCGGAAGGGTAGTGGCTACTGGTTTCCTCCTCACCAAAAAAAAATATATATATATATATATAACAATTGTAAGGACAACCCTAGCAAGTTGGTTAGGCCAATGAGTTGGACAGCCAGACTTTCTTGGTTTGAGCCGGTCATCTATGGACAACCTAAGCTAGTTTATCTCGATCCTTTGCCAACTACAGTAAAAAAGGCGGGATTGACCTGTGCACACCCTCGGGAGGGTAGTGGCTACGGGTTTCCTTGTCACCCAAAAAGAAAACATAACAATTCAAACAATCCCAATTAAGGCTGCTATCAAAGTTTCAATCTTGCTAGATCAGTGTATGCATATGAGAAATTATTGCAAGAAAGGGAAAAGAATTGATATGACAAACCTTTTTGTGCATCTGTTTTGTTGTCTTCAACAGATACTTTCTCTGCTGCCTTTACAACCTCTTCAGTTTTGTTGATCTCCTTTTCATTCTCATCCTTAACAGGCACAGATTCTTCCACAGCCACCTTAAAAGCCTCAGCATTGTTCTTGCTTTCCTTATCCTCCTCGGATTCGGGTTGTCCATTCTTGTTTTCTTTTCCTTGATCATCATCATCATCTTCCTTCGCCTTGAGGGCCTTTTCGGCCTGCTTTCCATGATCATCACCACCTGTCTCTCCTTCAAGGACTTTTTCACCCTTTCCTTCTTTTACAACATTGGTTTCACCCTTTCCATGATCATCATCATCACCTTTCTGTCCTTCCGGGGCTATTTGGTTTTTGGCTTCCTTTACAATATTAATTTCACCCTCTATAACAACAGCCTCAGGTGGTTTCTTGGGGTCATCTTTTGCAGCTTTTTGTTCTTCTTCTTGTTGTTGCCCCGCCAATGGTGGGGCCAAAACACCAGCCTTCTGGTCAGGAGCGGTTTCTGAGGCTTTCTGTCCTTCAAGGGCTATTTGGCTTTTGGAAATATTAATTTCACCCTCTATAACAATAGCTTCAGATGGCTTCTTGGGGTCATCTTTTGCAGCTTCTTGTTGTTGCCCCGCTGCCAATGGTGGGACCGAGGCGCCAGCCTTCTGGGCAGGAGCGGTTTCCGAGGCTTTCTGTTCTTCAAGGGCTATTTGGCTTTTGGCTTTATTAATTTCACCCTCTATGACAACAGCCTCGGATGGCTTCTTGGGGTCATCTTTTGCAGCCAATGGTGGGGCCGAGGCACCGGTCTTTTGGGAGGGAGCGGTTTCCGAGGCTTTCTGTCCTTCGAGGGCTATTTGGCTTTTGGCTTTATTAATTTCACCCTCTATAACAACAGCCTCAGGTGGCTTCTTGGGGTCATCTTTTGCAGCTTCTTGTTCTTGTTCTTGTTGCCCCGCCAATGGTGGGGCCGAGGCACCCGTCTCTTGGGCAGGAGCAGTTTCCGAGGCTTTCTCCTTCCTGCAAGAACTGGATCTAGAAGAGGATGATCTCTTGCTTTTGCTGCTGATGGTGGCGTTCTCTATTGAAACAGCATGCTTTGATTCACCACAACCCATGATAATTATGGTATTGGACCACCTAGCCTCCTTTGGGAAAAATGAAAAATGAAGAGGATGGATGGATTATCCCCTTCTCTCTCTTTCTTGTAGAAAGAGAACAGAGAAAGAGGAAGAAATTTGGGAATGGGAATTGTCTCTCTGCCTTCTTTGTCCCTTTGGTTTCACAAGGTTGTTTCATGTTATTAATATTTGGCTATGCAACAGTTTTTTCAGTTATTTTCTTGTCAAGGGTGTAGATGTTGCCATTTGTCTTATTGTTAAGCATGCCCTTAATTTGGACCTTTTATAAACATTTTCACAAAACTACAATTTCGGAGAAAAAATCATATAACATAGATCAGTAAAAATATCACTTTTAATATTTTAATTATGGTCATTGTATAAATTTAGTATAATTAACGAAGTGATGAATTTAGTTCCTAGAGTTTTTAACGAAACCTTAATTGATATGAACCAAACTCATCATTTTATTACAAAATTTACACTATGATTATATATATTATTTCTCTTGTAAAGTAAATATAAAGAGAAGATGAAGAATCCAATGCATGATAAGAAGACAAATATGAGAAAGGGTTTGTTGTTGCCGGCAAATGAGTGGGCTGTATTTTTGTTATTGTCATTGCACTCTATGGAAACTTCCTCACTGCAGTCTCATGTGTTGCTTTCAATTTATTTATTTTTTGAATAACGAAAAAATTCGCAATCATAACTCAAAAAGTATATATTTGTATATTTATTTTTGGAGTTAATACCCAAAATGGTCCCTCGACTATGTCATAATTACCAATTTGGTCCTCAACTATCATTCTTACGCAATTAAGTCCTCAACTATGTAACTTTTACTCAATTAAGTCTTCAATTATACAATTCTTACCCAATTTAGTCCTCAACTATACAATTCTTACCCAATTTAGTCCTCTGTATTAATTTGACTGTTTGTTGACTGTCAAAAATCGGGATAAAATTATAATTTTACAAGATTTCTCATTCCTCTCCATTTAGCAGCGCCAAACCATGCAGCAATACACTCCGATCAGATTTCGATCGTCAAAAATCGTTGGAAATCAAATTCATGGGATATCTGATGCATAACCACTACTTCGATACTGACAGGTTTAGAACGGTCAAATTGACAAAGGACTAAATTGGGTAAATGAGGAGGAAGGAGAAAACTTGTAAAATTACAACTTTATTTCCACTTTTGACAGTCAACAAACGGTCAAATTGACAAAGGACTAAATTGGGTAAAAATTGTATAGTTGAGGACTTAATTGGGTAAGAATGATAGTCGAGGACCAAATTGGTAATTACGACATAGTCGAGGGAGTATTTTGGGTATTAACTCTTATTTTTGTGTAATAGTTTGTAAATCACACAAAAAACAAATAATGAATGAAAAACTCTCAACTTTTGGTATACGACACCCACAACCATTTGCAAATATCAATTGTTGGATGTCATATGAAGGAACATAAAAAATAAAAAAAATAAAAAAAATAAAAACTTGCAAGCTAAGAGTGGGATTCTGTAAAACTCGCTTTAGAAATACAAAAAATAAAAATAAAAAATCAAAAATCAAAATAATTTATTCTAATATAATGACATTCAAAACACCAATAAAATCTAAAAGCACCAATGAAATGATATCTTTCTTAATTAGGAAATATAATTTTTAATCAAAGAAGTAATCAAATATCATTGTTGTGTTTTAAAAAATTATCAACCAGACACTAACTATGATTTTAATTCTCATGAACCAAACACACCCTTATTTTATCGAGATAAAAGAGTATTTTATTCGAAAACTATAAATATATTTCTTGCAAGAGAAATAGACTGTCTCTTGGAGAATAGGCAATGCAAATTTAAGAGTAAGGAAATGATGCCAAAATAGGTGCTGTTACAATGATACACATTGTTACAAAGATTAAAATATTTGTGTTATTGCATTACATACAATTTCCTCATTTTAAACTGAGGAAAAAATGTAATTTGAACATTTGGGTAGAAGAAAACAATCATCATAATACAGTAATTGGGGGTACAACAACAGGTAATTTACACAAAGAATGAGGAAAAAAAAAAAGACAACCTTTTCAGTTTGAACATGGTGATCTGCATATAGTCTGCAATCCTCTACCAAAAACAAAATCCTCCACCTACCTCTTGTTTCCTTGCCTCTTAATTCCAGGTTGAGTGTTGCTGTGTCAACCGAGAAAACGCGTCTAGACCCTTTCCCAAATTTACCAAACATTTTCGATGATGTTCATTTCACCTTGCACAGTACTAAGATTACTGGTTATAGCATGCCGGGGGCATACCACATGTGAATACCAGAAATTGACCATTGAACCGAGTAAAAAGGCTTCGTCTTGCCAATCTTCATAATAGGTCGGTCTCCTCCTGGTCTGCATCAGGATCCTCAACTTCATTCTCCTCGTCTTCTTCAGGGGCATCGGGATCTACTCCCTGCAGAAAATATATATCATTTGTAATGGCATTGATAATTTCTGTTCTTTTCATTCTTAAATATGGTTTCTAGTGTGAGAACGTATATCTTTGAGCACACAAAGGAGAGGTTTTAAGAAATGGTAGGTAATTGAACCTTCATTTGTTTCTCCAAGCGTTCTAATCCTTTTTTTGCTGCTTCATTTTGGGGATTTATCCTGCAATAAATATCCAAAGAAACATGGAGTCGGATACTATAATACCCTTTCGAAAAATGTATCTTCCAGATTTTGATATCATAATACTTAAAGACTAGGAGATGAAAACAGAAAAGAGAGCGTACCTCAAAGCTGCCTGATAATGTGAAAGTGCGTCTTGCAGCATATTTGTGGCAGCAAACACCTGGGCAAGCTTAACATGCAAAGAGTCATCGGCCCAATCTTTGAGATACCGCTCAAGGAGAGACACGGCATCTGCATTTCGACCTTCAATGACATGTAGCTCAGCCAAAGCTAATGCAGCACCAAGGTAACCGGGTTCCAGTCTGAGGGATGATTCATAAAATTTCTTTGCCTGTTGGAATAAAACCAAAGCCATGCTACAATGAGAACTTGGTAACTATCCTCATACAATGGGGATTGTTTTCCCCTTTACAAAATACAAACTAACTAAAGAATCCTCTTTCAACTCCACTACCTTCTCCCTGCCACTAGTGTTACTAGCGTGTACATCCCCCACCAATTTTAGAGCCTTCGCTGACTGAGGCATGGCTTTCATTGCCTCCCTTGCAGCATGCAATGCTTCTTTGGTCTTTGAAAGTGCCAAATAGGATCGAACTAAACCTGAATTGTTTCTGAATGATGAGTAGTGGGTCCTAAGATTTGTTTATAGATCAACAAAAATAATAACCATATCCAGGCACCAGACGTCAAAAAGCATCCAAACTGTCAAACTTTTAATATTAAACCATGTTTTTGCCTACAACGGACCTTGATACGAACGGAGATCAGGTCTCAGTTCTTGTGCTCCTCTGAAGGCAATGACAGCAGCTTCAGGACGATTCATTGACAAGAACAAATTTCCCTACTTGTTTGCATGAAAAGGTAACAGAAAGTTAAGAGATGGAAAAGACAGGGAGTGGAACTTGATTTGACCTCCAAGAATAATAAGGCAACCCAGGAGAATACCTTCATTATATATCCTGGTATATGCCTCTCATCAATGCGGATGCTCTGGTGAGACAAACATAATGTTAATGGGAGTTAAAAATTCTATTACTGTCAAGTATCAACAGTAATCCACTAATCCCACAAATTAACAATTAAAGAGCTTAACCTTCTCCGCATAAGATAAAGCTCCCCTCTCATCTTTCCGTTCCCACAAGACAGACAAGGCCACAAAGACCTCAGGCCTAGTTGGATCAATATTTAATAGATCATGCACTAACTTGTTCAACTTTGAAAAATCAGACTTCACTTTCAAAAGCATGGCATACTCATCCATATAAGTCATCACATATGGATCAATTGATCGAACCTGAAAGTTAAATTAAATAAATAAACAAATGATTAGAATCTAAGTATTATATCAAGTATTCTGCTTACCCAAGTTAGTTTCATCATGGTTTTCATGCTAATATCAAAGACGTTTGAAGTTTAAGATGCAGTATGATATTAAGGGAGTATTTTACTAACCTTCTCAAAATCAGTTATAGCTTCATCATCTTTACCAATAATGGCCTCAACCTAAAAAGGAATTTACACAAAAAATAAGCAAAAAATAAAAAACAAAAAAAAAAAGGATAACTCTTGGGGTGCACTTGGTTCACGTAATATGAGATTACCTTAGGTCCTCTTGAAAGGTAACGTGAAATTTTGGGAATGTAAGATTACTTTATGTGTTTGGTTTGGATTGTGGAAATATAATATTAATTTGTTGGGTTAAGGGTTATATTTTAGGTTATATGGAACAAATATATATATATATATATATATATATATATATATATATATATATATATAAAACATTTATTTGTATGTATGTCAATGTGTAAATATTACGGAGTAATTAATAAATATAAATATATAAATCAATGTTGCAAAAATCCCGCGTAGGCACCGATTAATCGGCGCCTAGGCGCTGGTCGGCCGCCTAGCGTATCACCATAATCGGTGGTCTAGGCGCCTGGTCGGCTAGGCGACCGACTAGGCCGCCTAAGTGCCGTCTAGGCCGCCTAGGCACTGACCGCCTAGGCATCGACTAGGTCGCCTAGTCAGCAAATTAACAATTGTTCCATTCTTTTTTAAATGAGTTATTCCACTCAAAACAACATCGTTTTGAGTAAAATAACTTCTAAAATTTTCAAACTCTAGATGTTTTTTAGGTTAATATTTAATATTTTAGTATTAACTATTAAAGTATTAAATAGTTTATAATTATCAAGTCTTAAAAAAATTTAAAAATTTTAAATAAATTTTTTAAAAATAAAAAATACATTGGCGCCTAGGCGCCGATTAATCCCCGCCTAGGCGCTAGGCGCTCCCCGAGCGCCCGATGGGCACCTAGCGATTTTTTCAACCATGATATAAATGCATAAATATACACATACATGTATGTATATTTTTTTATTATATAAACGTATATTTATTTTATGTATGTTGTTATTATTATATAAGGGTTAGTTAACAATGGCAAACTTGAAATATTTCAAGGT